CAGTAGTGTGTCAGAGTAGCTCATTTCCAGCTGCAGTCTTAATTTGACTGATGAGTATTCTCATGAAAAATGCTTTCAGAAGTTCATAATTTCACCATGAAATCAACTGCCGTCAAACTAAAGTCTAAAATACAAGGTCTCAAGCTGAGAAAATACTTTCATTCTTTGTGTAACTAAAGGAAAGTTTCATCCTTACCAAATTATTCAGGCAGGACCAGTTTGCCTGTAGGTGTCCTACATCCTCACCTAGGAAGCCAGGTATGCCCAGGAGACCGTGGTGGGAAGGCGATGAGAAGTGGGGGTGGGGTCTTCCCCCCCATCCCCGCACGCAGGAGCTTTCCCAGGTGCGGCTTTAGGAGGTATCACTGAATAACTCTTCCAGCTTTCCTGTATGTTTGAAAATTTTCATAATGAAATGTTGAGGGGGAAAAAAAAGAAACCAGGACATCTGATCCAGATTCTGTTTGGGGGCACCTCCACCTGGTATTTCTTAGCTCGGGTAGAAATACAGATGTCGACACAGAAATGTCTGGTCTCTCCCGTGCTGCTTGGCTTTATAATTGGAATGTTTGTGGGACACACGGGCACTTAAAACTCCCAGTATTTGCAGGCGCATGGCTCTGGGAAGCCCCTCCCCGTTGTGTGTTTCAGTGTCCTGGTGGGGTGCGGAGGGGCAGGAGGTTCAGACCTCCTGCGAGGAGTTTGTCCACTGCCAGCACCCAGTCCTGAGGTCCGGCCTTTTCTTGTGGAGCTGTGTTTAGTGAGGGAACATGATCAAATACTAGCTAGCTGGATGTGAACAGTTAGATGGCTTTGCATAATGCTCATCATTGTAACCATTCCTAAGTGTACAGTTCAGTGGCATGGAATACATGAACATTGTCACTGCAATCAGCACCACAGTCTATATTACAAACTTTTTCATCGTCCCAGACAGAGACTCTGTACCCATTAAACAATAACTCCCCCTCCCCGAGCCCCTGGTGACTCCAGTCTGTATGGGTCTCTGGATTTGCCCCATAGGAGTGGATCACACACTATTCGTCCTTCGGTGTCTTGCTCATGTCACACAGCGTAATGTCCTCAGGGTTCATCCACGTTGTAGCAGGCACCAGAACTTGATTCCTTTTTCTGGCTGAGTAATATACCGTAGTCGTGCAACTTTTTATAGGAGTTTTGTGTAAATGTCAGGAACACTGTGTCTGAAACCTCAGAGAAAGGGCACTGTGTTTTCCGAGGGCCATCCCCATCCACAGCCCGTGCTGCGTGTTCTCCCGAGGGTGCCGTGGGGCAGGTTTTACCCCCAGTCCAGGATCGCGGGGACAGACTCAGATGCTTCTGGGCAGCGGGCAGGGGAGCCCCTGCCCTCGTGGCGCTTACAGTTCAGGTGATTCAGGAGGAAAGCGGGCACACTTGACAGTGCTCTGGGGGGCTGTGGGTGGCCCGCAGGGTCTCCAGGGCTGGGGGGGCGGGAGACCCTCTACCGTGGGTCACAGCTTTCAGTGCTCCTACCTTTTAGAGTAACTCCCAGGGGATTTACTCAGAACCCTCCTGGCGGCCCCACACCCTTCTCTCTGCTGCCGTGGCCAGGCAGGGAGGCTGGCCCGGCGTCCTGGCTTTGACCGTCTTACAGCCCTTTTTCCTTCTCCGTGGACCATCTCCAGGGGCCGAGTGGAGAGCAGATTTCCCTATCCTGCCTGTGTCGCCTGGCAGCGGCCTGAACCCCATCACAGCCTGCTGCCGCTCTGAGGACTGCCGCTCACCGGCCTAACTGTCCCTGTCCACCGGGGGTGTCGCTGCTTCTCGCCTAGGCCCCTGTTGTCCACCTGAAGTGTCCCAGCTTTGTCCCTCCCAGCCCTCTGTCCAGTTGGCTTCCTGACTCAGCTCTCTAAAGGGCGCTTGGCTGTGTCACTTCTTAGCTCGGCCGCAGACGGTGGCTCCCCATGGAGTCCAGACGTGGCCGTGACCTGGAAGGTCCTCCCCATCAAGCTGGTGGAGGAGCCTGTGGACGGCGCATTCCTCTGCTCCCCTCATAATGCTGTTCCCTGGGCTGGAATTCCAGTCTTCCCTGCACAGAGGTTTAGTTCTTTCTACTCCGGAGCTTTTTCTGACTTTCTCCTTTATTCTCCCATTTGCCAGATGATTCTTTTTCTCCTCTTGGGCATCTCTTTCTTTGGAGCAGTTTATCTGCCTCCCTCATCCGCCCCCTCTCTGCAGTGTGACCGTTTGCAGGGGGGATGTGTTGGGGAGGGGTACCGGAAGGATCCTCCCTGCGTGTTGTCAGGCCCCTCCTTCACATCGGTTATTTATTGCGAGGACAGTATGATTTATGACTTCTGTGCGTCCATTTTCAAAGGAAGGGAAGAGAGCTAAAGATTGGAAACAGTAGTTTGTGTGAAGGTCGTAGGAAAAGGTACAACTCCTGTCTGTTCTCAGACTCCAAACGTGCTCAGCAGCTCCTTGAGAATCTGTTCATTTTTGTTGGAATGTGAACTTGTGGTTTTAGACAGTTAGGTGTTTCAGAACAGATGCTTAGACCACAAGGTCACTGGGAATGAGTGTGGGTGCAGTGTGCCCCATATTACACCAGTGCAGCAGGGCTCTGGGCTCGGGTCCACTGCCCGGGAGCCTCAGCTGTGTCTCAGCCAGTGGGTCACTATCGCGTACTCAAGGGCATTTCAGCGACTTTAACGTATTAGATGTTGTGTTTAAAAATGTGAATTTCAGGGCTTCCCTGGTGGCGCAGTGGTTGAGAGTCCGCCTGCCGATGCAGGGGACACGGGTTCGTGCCCCGGTCCGGGAAGATCCCACATGCCGCGGAGCGGCTGGGCCCGTGAGCCGTGGCCGCTGAGCCTGCGCGTCCGGAGCCTGTGCTCCGCAACGGGAGAGGCCACAGCAGTGAGAGGCCCGCGTACCGCAAAAAAAAAAAAAATGAATTTCATGTTGAAAATTTTATGTAGGCTGCTTCTTACTTTCTAAATAGAAGCTTCTTGTAGTTACAGTGAGAAAGGGGACAGGTAAAACCTTTTGAGACCTTCCATCTTCCCATCTCTAAGAAAGGAATAGTAATTTTATGTCATTTTTTCAGGTTTACTGTTGTATATGGTAATGTAATAGATCTATGTAAGTTAATTCACATGAAATGCTTAGAACAGAGCCTGGCACTTAGTAAATACTGGATAAACATTAGCTATCTCCCCACCCCAGTAGGGGAAGAGGCGTGAAAAAGGCCGTGAAGCATGGTTGCATTTTAGTTTCTAAGCTCCTCACTGAAAGAAGTCCAGACCCCTGTGCCCCTCTCCTTTTAAAGGATGCTCCAAGAAGGGATCAGTTTTCCTTTGTTCATTAAAACTCAAAGTGATTGTCCTTCACTGTCTGCTCACTGGGTTCTCTGGTCACGGCCACGTGGGCTGCCTCCAGGGCAGGACAGCTCAGGAAGGGAACAGCAGTGACCACGGGACGCTGAGCCTCACTCTGTGCTCACCCGCTGCTGCCACCTGTTGGGCGGAGGGGAGGGAGGCGACCTCACCTGTTCCAGGCTACGCAGCCCTGAGCCCCTAAGCCAGGTGCTGCCGGGCAGCTGGCAGCTAAGGGCAGCGTCAGGGCTGGGCTCACCTTCTGACTGCCAGCATGACAGCACTCAGTGAGTTAGCCGGGAGCAGGTATAATCATTGTAGGGAAGTGCCCTTGTGACAGTGAGTTCTGTATAGAGAGGCTTCTTCCATGCTGAGGGGTGGGTGCCGCACACAGATGACTTGCATCTACACAGCCCTTGTTACTGTGGCCACCGTGTGACCACCCACATGCTGTTACCAGACCCCTCCTTGCAAGTGTCAGTTTCCACAGCGAGACATTCTCATTTTATTCTTGTTATTTATTTATTTATTTTTGGCTGCGTTGGGTCTTCGTTGCTGCCCACGGGCTTTCTCTAGTTGCGGCGAGGAGGGCCTGCTCTTCGTTGAGGTGCGTGGGCTTCTCACTGCGGTGGCTTCTCTTGTTGCGGAGCATGGGCTCTAGGCGTGTGGGCTCGGTAGTTGTGGCTCGTGGGCTCAGTAGTTGTGGTGCACGGGCTTAGCTGCTCCGCGGCATGTGGGATCTTCCCGGACCAGGGCTCGAACCCGTGTCCCCTGCATTGGCAGGCGGATTCTTAATCACTGCGCCACCAGGGAAGCCCCGAGACATTCTTATTTTAGTATTTAGGTCAAAATGCCGGTAAGAAGTTGACCACTTTATAAAAAAACCAGAGGAGTCGTGACCCTCAAAGTCTTATAACACATTGTGTGAACCTTCAGCGTGACAGGCTGTGGTTTCTTTCAGGAGGTTTGGGAGGGTTTTATAAGAAAGAATTCCCAAGATGTGGAAGGACCACCGGTTGAGGTGAGTGGAGAGGCTTGTTTGTCATGCTGTGGGGATGCAGGGCGTGGTGTGGACCAGCCGCTGAACACTCGAGCTGTGGATTTCCAAGTGAAATCATATTATAGAAGAGAACTTTAAATGAGCTGTCGGTTGTTAATACTGTTGTTCTTGCCCCAACTTGAATATTTATAAGAAAGTATTGGCTTCTGCAGCAGTATGTCATTGCAGGTTACATGTTACAGGAGACGCCTGGGGTGGCCCTGCCTGTCACGTGCTCTAACCAGAGGTGAACTGTATCTTTATCTTTTCTGAGAGGTGGTGTGTTCTTTCTTTATCTTTCCAAGTGGAATATTTTCAGGATCATGGTCCAGTTCTGAAAAGTGTCATTAGCATTATGTGGGAACCACAAATGAACACCTCTCATTTTCCTTTTCAGGTAGAGATGGTCTTCAAAGTGAAGTCTCTGGAAAATGTTCGGTTCTCTGCAGAAACTACAAAAATGGAAGGAAAGAACATTTTCAAAACAACATTGTTGTGAAAGTGTGTTTACAACTAACTGATACTGTTGACAGTTTTGTTTTTGTTTTAACTAATAAAACACTTTAAGAAGATTGTATTTATGGTCAAAGGAAACTGGACTAACCATGCGGCCGAAGACTTTTCCCGCCACGACCTACTCTGGGAACAGCCGGCAGCGGCTGCAGGAGATCCGCGAGGGGCTGAAGCAGCCGCCCAAGACCCCCACCCCGGGGCCACCCACAGGGCCGGGCAGTGACGCCGCCCTGGATGCCAAGGCCCTGGGGGGCAAGGACACGGCCAGGCAGCAGCAGCAGACGAGGACAGCCCCGAAGTTCGGGCCTTACCAGAAAGCCCTGAGAGAAATCAGATACTCCTTGCTGCCCTTTGCTAATGAATCGGGCCCTTCGGCCGCCGCAGAAGTAAACCGACAAATGCTGCAGGAATTGGTGGACGCGGGCTGTGACCAGGTGGGTGGACGCTCCCGGGAGGCTGCGCGTCTGGGGTGCAGAGGAGACCAGCAGAGGTCCCTGGAGAGGGGTTTCTAGGCTACAAACCCGAGGCCCTTTCTGCGTCCCATTGCACTGTTTTCCACCTTCTCTCCAAAACCATCTTGTTAGCTGTTTTCCTTTTCAGGCAAGATCCAGAGATTTCTCAGCTCTCCTGAAGTTGTGTCCCGTGCACTGAAGTTGTGTCCCGTGCACTTTCTGTCCTGTCCCCGTGAGGATGGGAAGGCTTTCCCACGTAGCCCTCTCCTTGGGGTTTATTTGGCTTATTGTGAGCTGTCATGGGGAAGAGACTGGCTTCCTTGAACTTGTGTTTGGTTTGTGCATTTTTTAACTCAGCTAAGGGGAAGGTTGGTTTACATGAGTCGGCTCTTTGCCTCTGTTTTCTCCTGTTTTAAAAGATAGCATCTATGCTATTAGAGGAGACGTAACTATATTAAGGGAATGAGAAAGACTAGAAAATAAAAAGCTTGAGAAATCATCAGAATGGTGGCAACACAGTCTGATTTCTCACTGCTTAAGAATAAAGGCCAAAAAAAAAAAAAAAGAATAAAGGCCAGTTAATGGAGGAGGCATCAATTACACAGAAACACACACGGGGGCCGTGCGTACGATCTTGTGCTCTTCACGTGGCTGAATAAAGTCCGAACCGAGGGGCAGGACCGTATAAAATGGAGCTTATGTCCAACCAGGTAAAAATGTGTCCGTGACATGTAACTAGTAAAAATGTAACTGTCTTATGAAACGGCTTCTGAAAGCAAGCGCTGTATCATCACGTGTCATGTGAAAGTCAGAGCTGCATGAACGTGGAAATAGACCAGGCACGTCTGCCGCCTTGCAAACTGAGTAGGATTTCATGCGCAGAGTACATCAGGATGGCTTGAGCACTTTTAGTTTCTTAGAAACAGAGTAACTACGTACTCCTGGCCTCACAGTCACGGGAACTGGGAGGAAAAAGAAACAACGCCCTCTTTTATTTCCAAAAGCTACCTCAGCCCTCTTACAGTTTCTTACCGGAGAACTTACATTTCTCAGATGATCTGTTTGGGAAACTAGTGGCGCTGTTTTGTGGGGCTTCCTTGACTCTTCGGGATGTGCTGGGATTGACCTGGGTAACGAGCTGCTTTCGTGAAGCCCAGGCTGTGAATGGCGGGTGCAGAGGGTTAGCATTGCGAGTTGACAGCACAGCCACGGCCTTTCTCTCTGTGAAAATATGAAGCTGTCCCCTGACCAACAGAACTTGATGCTTTTGAAGATAGGATGGAGCCGTCCCAGGGAAATAGTGGGTGAGATTGCAGATACTCAGCCCAATAACAAAGCTGAAAACCTTGTGTAAATCACTTGCAAACAAAAGAGGTAATCAGAGCCGCTGTTCTTGCAGTTGTGATAAAAACAAATCAGGCAAATGATCCAGAATACAGGTGGGATCTCATTGTGGTAAAATCCATTCGTGATAATTACAGTGCAAGAAATAATGAAGCTGGTGCCGTTTATAGTAAAACACAAATATGGTAAAATTAAGGGTCGGGACACCCATAAGTTCCCATCAGCATTTAATTTATGTTAATTGCTAGTAGAAAAGACTCTACCCTTTTGCTGCTCCTGAAATAATCCGTCAGTTTGGTGCATAGTGTTACTTTGTAGCTTAAAACAACTCTGCCTTCCTCTGACCCTCCAACTCAGACTTTTTCTGGCCTGGTTAGAGGGTACATTTGCTTTCAGAGTTCTGGTTGGCAAGTCATTATGTGAACCCAAATAATGTGAGGAAAAGCTCAGCAGAACCTCTAGAGTTGTGTCTTGGATAAAGCAGGTGATTAGAATTCCCGTGTAACAGGTACAGAGAATTCCTGTCGGTGCAGCTTTTCCCCTTGTCTCCTGTTGTATTGCCTTTTAATCTAGGTTCAGTTTTGTTTTCTTATATTTTGAGTTTAAATGCCATTTTAACCCTATATTTATGAGTGGCAATAAACTCACAGTTTTCCCAAGGTCTTATAGGTCCTTGTTGGTGATAACACACTTTTATATGAAGTGTTTTATCTACTGCATGTGCACACACATTTTTTCCCCCATTTTATTGGGACTCTGATTCAGTTTCTGGGAAAAAGTAAAAGACTGTTCACTGTGTAATGGTATAATGTATATGTCAAATGATGTAATGTTCATAAATCTTTTGCACATAAATCACTAAAGACTTACGAAAATTTCTATAGGGAAACAAAGAGGCCAATAGGTTAATATTTCTTAAGGAAGGAGCTGTTCTTTAAATATTAAGGAATTGGAAAGATATGTTTTTGATTATGAGCATCCTGTTTTGTTTCATTGGGTAGTCTCTTATTAGCACAAGTGATGATTTAAATTTAGCTTTTACTTTATCTTTCTTATAAAATTTAGTTTCACTTTTTCTTTTAATCTTTATGGTTCCAAACGACCATATTACCAGGTGTTCCCTCTTTTTCTTCCTGAGACAGTTTTAAAAACGGCTAATTCAGTTTTGCAACGATGTTAATATATGTGACATTGCTGCTTCTCGGAAGCACTGATTTGTATTCGCCTGCTGCATTGTGGCGGGTTAGCGCAGGTAGGGCGCCCTTGGGACGGGCCTGCAGCCCTTGGGGCCCCTCAGAGTCTGTGTTGGGGCCTTGGGAGAGCAAGGATGCCCATGGCTCCTGGGCCCTTAGAGCAGCTGAGCGTTCCATCACGGTGTGTCCCCAGAGGGGGACTTAGGTGAGGAATTTCTTTCAGACGGGAGTCCTGGGACTTGTTCGTGCTTTTTCCCTGTGGATGACCTGTGTCCTGACCCTGCCCGCCTCCCTCCTTGCTCTGCTGTGGGTGGTGCTGAGTCCAGGGCTGTGGCCTGGCGCTGCTATGGTTCCCCTGGTCCCGAATTTCTCTATTGGTATAATTTTCCTAATCCTGACTTAATCCAGTTTTCCTCACTTTACTGTATGCGTTTAAGTGAGTAAAATCTTTAACTAAATGCAGGTAGGAAGAAATGTAAACAAACAAATCGATTTATTTGTTTACATTACAAAAAACAAACAAATTTATGCCCAATTCAGCCTGAGGAAGAAAGCCAGTGGTCAGGGACCCGAGCACAGCACCAAGTAGGCTGGGGTGATTTGGTCAGTAGGAAAAGGGAGAGAATTCTTGGCATCCTCAAGCCAAAAAGTGCCGAAGAATCACGTTTCTCAGCCCACCACACAGGGTGCTCCTTGACCCAGGTCCTTTTGCAGAGGCTGCGGTGCTGGGCATGCTGCAGTCACAGTGGAAGGACAGGCCCTGGTGGTGGCTGCGACCGTGTGTCCCCACGCTGTTCTGAGACCGCATGGCAGTGGTCAGAGAGGGCTCCAGTTGCGACCCCAGTGACTCAGGCTCCCCCCGCCCCGGCAAGCGTGGTCGCACGTGCCTGTCACACACGCTTGAGCGGAGGGGAGGACAGCAGTGCCCGCAGAGGGGCTTCCTCCTCAGCGACTTGGTCCCCTCCTCTCGCCCCTCCTCCCCCCGGCCATGCTTGCCCAGCCCCCCTTCCCCCAGACAAGCTCACGCCGGGGCTCTGTGGACGTGTCACACTGTCGGCGGTGATGCCATCTCCCCTCATCCGCGTCTGGGTCAGCTCTCCTGCGGGAACCCTGGTTCTTGCCTCTGGGTTTGAGCCGACCCTGGTCGGACCGCCAAGCTCTGTTGTTTCTTCTTTTTTTCTTTTTGGCTGCACTGCACGGCATGTGGAACTTCCCTGACCGGGGATCGAACCCCTGTCCCCTGCACTGGAAGCACACAGTCTTAACCACTGGACCTACAGGAGAGTCCTGGGGTCCGTTGTTTCTAACTCGTAGGCCCATGGTCGGCCGCCCCTCTCGGTGCTGGACCCGCGAGTGTGCCCCGCGAGTGTGCCCCGTGTGCCCTGGAGGCCCCGCGTGGCCATGGGGCTGTGCCCCTCATTCGGCGGGAGCATGATGGTGGGAAACGCAAGCTTTGCAGAGAGGATTCCGGGCGCTGGTCCACTAAACTGTCCCTCAAGTCTCAGGCACTAGGACAGAAGCACAGCTCCGCCTCGCTGGCCGTTATCAGGAAAGGGCCAGGGGGTGACCCTGAGGGGTGCTGATGTGAGGCTGCCACCCCTTCATCCTGGTGACAGGTGGCCTCTGTGGTCTCACTCTAAGGCCGGGAGATGCAGGGAGATGCAGGGGTTCAGGTGACTTGTATGTTTCCTCCTCTTCCTCTGGAAAGGGGACTAGTGTTCAGGGTTGTCACTGCCCTGAAATATTAATAAGAGCAGGAGGAAAAAAGAAACACTTGAGGTGAGGAATGTCAGTCCTGTAACAGGAAACTGTCTTAACAATGACTGTGGGTGTAGCAGCCTTTGCCTTTTCCCCCCGTTTTTTCTTTTTTTTTGATTTTCAAATTAATTTCGGCCCTGCCAAAAGATAAACTATACCTTTCTAAATAGGATTTAGAGTTACTTTCACAAGACACAAGCAAATCATACCTTTGTGTCGTACCTTCCCCAAGGCTTCCCCAGGTTATTAAAGTAGCATGTGTTCATTGCATGCTTTCGGAAAATACAGAAAAGTATAAAGAGAAAATAAAAATTGCCTGCAATTGTATCAGCCCAGATATGACCACTTTTTTATGACCATAAAAGTGGCCAAATTTTTTTTCTAGTTAAAGGAAATTAAGGGAAGTTATCAAGGAGCGATGTGCCCAGGGTGACAGGTGGAAAAACACTGGTCACAAAACAGCACGTACAATATGATCCCAGTTCTTCTGTTGCAGAAATATACGCATTGACTGTCTCCCTGCTTGCCTTCCCACTCAGCTCTCCCACCAGGCCCGGGACCGCAGGGCTCCTCTCCCCATCTGTTCCCTGCACAGAACCCTCCGAGTGGTCACTCTGGAAAGGAAGGATCCCGTCCTTTCCCTCCGGAAACCTTCCCACTGTGCTGGGGACGAGTTCTTGGCCTCAG